CACTCACATGATGGGGAGTATGAGGCTGTGAGTGACAGAAGGTTTCCAGAAGCACAGGTTTATTTCTTGTTTTACAACTTATTGCTTTTCCCAATTGCCTTTTGAGCGAGATGTTATTTTACAGTGTGATATATCTGCCTCATATTTCAGACACCTCTCCCTGCAACGTCAAACTCTTTCCAGATAGACTGTTTGGTACATAATTCTGCTGTAGACCATGGAGGAGTTAGTGCAGGATTACAGGTGTTGGAAGGCCAGCTGTCCTCCCTGTGTAGCCCCTTGTGACAGGTAGCGTTGACAGTGGGAAAAGCAGCCATCATCTGCATTTCTGAGTTGGAATGGAGCCCCTCCAGTGTGGTGGGAATAATACAGGATACATCTTTTTGCAGTTGCACATTTACATAGAATATTCTTGTAGAGGCCACTGACTTCAATGTGTCTGTTGGTAGCTTAGCACCTCTGAGGTCACAGAAATTATACCATGAGCACACGAGTACTCACTGGAAATACTATTACCCAGTGAAAATTGCCCTTGTAAAGAAGTAAAGCAAAGAACAGAAAGAAGGAAAACCATGAGTCTTTGCAAGGGAAAGGGAGGCAGCATACTAGCAAAGTTCTGGTCTTAACAATTTTTTACTCTTTGCTTAGTAGCTGAGAACAGAAATGCTCTCCAGATTGTTCCTTGACTTCTCAGCATTTCTTTCTTCTGAGAGGGAGGATCATTATAAACTGTATATGTTCTTAGGTTCTCCATCTGATTCCCCAAATTTGAAGTTATTTTTTGTAGTAGTAAGTCTCAAGATTGGTTTATTTATACTGGGTGTTCCATAGCTCCTTCTGGAGACTGGTTGCAGACCTCATACTCTGAAGAATTACAGTTCATATGAGGCTGTAGGATTGAAACTGATCAAGAGGAGATCTGTGTCCCTAGAGCTTGTGGTTAAACAGAGGACTGTCTGAGTTTCCAGCATGTGTAGCCATGCTGAGTTTGCTCTGCTTTCTCAGATCCTTTACAGGTTTATGAATACTGGCTGCTCATGACCTTGGAAAATCAGGCCTTTAGGCAGTGACAGACAGTACTGAAAAAGAAAAAGAGGAAGGAAATGATGATTTGACAGTCTGACAGCAACATATCCCCTTCAGGCTGGTGTGGGGCTGAGATGATCTGTGCATGCTGGTGGTTAGAAATGCTTTTGTGTTTGGATGGGCATGTAGCTGTATTCAATGTGCATATATTTGATTTCTGTAATAAGTATGTCTACATATTAACAAGCTTAAGGAAATAGATTATTTTAAGAAGACAGTGTTTGGCAGTGGTTCAGAAGAAAGGTGGTAGTGAAATACTTCTGATCTGAGTGCAGTGATTACAACTGCATCTGTCTGCTCATCAGGTCCTTGTAAATACTTTTTTTGAAGTGATACTGCTGTCTCACTGAGCCTGCACAAAGTGGGATGCTCTTCCATGCCCTCTGAGCAGAGAAATTGAAAGCTTTGAAGCTTCTGGTCTGAGAAAGATACTTCAAGTTAATTGTCTGTGTAAGGAATCACCTGCTGAAAATCTAAATTTTGCAGGTAAGCCTCACTAAAGAGAACAGAAGATGGCTGAACTGCTCAGATGCCCTTCACTTCTACTTAGATAAATTATTTACTCCTCCTTTTCTTTCTTAAACAAAGCTAGAAAAAGATACAAAGGTATTTGTGGAGACAGGCATCCTTTAATTTCAGTGTCTCAGATTCTCCAGCTAAGGAGCAGAAAAATCTATATTTAGTAGAAATCTTTTCCACTTTGGCTCTGTCTGTACTGCTACCGGAAACTTGAAGTCTCTAAATCCAGAAATAACATCGTAACTGCACTGATGCAGAGATCAGCAAAGCCTGTCTGGAAAGCTACCTGGGCAGCCAGCCTGCATTGAGCTGCCATGGTCATGGCCAGCTTGCTGATGGCATCCCAACCACATGGTTAAATGCTTGCTCTGGTGGCTCGGTGACAGATGTGGTCTTCACTCACAAGTCCATCTATTCTCACCCGAGGAGGTCTCTTACCAATTGACTTTTCCTGGAGAAACACTGCCGACGGCCTCATACAGGAAATTTTATAACCTTAAACATTTAATAAGAAGGGATGGATGGTTTCTAAATTCTTTGGCCTGAAGCCGGGTGATCCTCTGTAGTGGGCTGTTGGACCCATTTTGTGTCTTACAGTCTGGTCACATAAAGTCATTCCATGTTTTTGATGTGTGCTCCAGATTTGTCTCTGCAAATATAAATGTTCCTGAGCAGAGGAGTCCCTCCTCTGTAGGTCTTAAAGATCACTTGTAAATGTTCTGCAGTAGTAAGGCTGTGTTATGGGCTGCTCCAGCATGAACAGCTTCGTCTATATTCAGCCTGAATAACTTGGTTTAAAAAGTGACAACTGAAGCTTTAGAGGAAGAAAACAACTCATTCCTGGGCATCTTCTGCTGAAAGAAAGTGGTCAAAGTCACCTCATTTGTTCCACATTTCACCAGAATTGTTGTTTCATAGCCCTTGGCTGTTATCAGTTATTCTGGGTAAATGGCATTCTACTTCTCTTCCAACATACCTATCACCCCAAAAGATGAATCCCACTTTTGATGTGATTTATAGTCAATAGGACTTTTTTTTTTCCTTTGGCTGGATACTTTGTGATACAGGCCAGCATCTCTTAGAGACTCATCTCTCTAAATTTTCACAAACACACTTCAGAAGCCAGTAAACTGCAATCCTTTCTTCCATGGGTATTTGCAAACATCAATGAACTAAGAATTCTCACATTCAATCCTATATGCTTGAGACATCTTATTCCTTAGGTGGTCATGCATCTGAGCTACCAGGGGATTTAAATAATACAATTTGATATGTAACCCTGGTTTGCTGTCACTGCCATGTGTCTTGTCTGCAGAACTCCATCTCTCTTAACCTCTTTTCAGATGGAAAAAGATATTCTGTCCAGCAGCCAAAGGGAAATGCAAGCATCCTGGTGGAAAACAAGCTGTTTCAAAACCCTGGCTGCAAGCTACCCACACATCACAGTTGTCAGCCAGGCTGCACATGCATAGTTACAGGGAATAAAATAGAGAGGACCTTCTGTTCCTATTCAGAAAGGTCTCTACCCATTCACCTTCACAAAAGGATCGTCATCAGCTGCCAGTATTCATTTGTTCTCCTGTGTAGGTTTCCAGCCAAAGGAGGGTAAAATAAGTCTAATGCTATCCAGCAGGAGCACTTGCAATGCAAATGCTAGCCCATATATTACGAAGCATTAATGCGACCCACTTCTAGATTACTTGGGGTAATTTCTGATTTTATTTATTCCTCCTTTAATTAACCTCTGGGAAGAGAAGCTGAAATATCAGTATGCAGAAAATCAAATATGAGAAACAAATCCCATTTTTATTTTGAGACTGTGCTTCCCTTGTAATAGAAGTTTATTTAAAGAGGAGCCTGGAATAATCCAGTTTAAGCAAAGCAAAGAGCTCTACTGAAGCCAAACTGTGTGTGGGTGTGCTCTTGTCAGGGCTCCCAGAAGAGGAGGACAGGAAAGGCTGTTAGTCAGACCTCAGATACTGCAGGAGTTGTTGGTTAGTAGCTGGCATTATTCCTTGGCATACCAGTACAGAGCTACTACTCTGGTGTACTGGGAGAGAGTGAATCCAATTGGGAAAATCCTCAGATACCTGAGGTCCTGCTCTTTTGTTGTTGTGAAAGAAAATCCCAAGGATACATGGCTGGAAGAGATGTCCACTGTGAGGGCCTAGCACGTGTGTTAGGAATGACTCTGCCTCCTCCTGTTGTTCCACCTTGTGGTGTGTTTGTGGCACTTGGGCCTGGTGTGTTGTTTTGTGCCACCTGGGGGGGTTTGTGTTGTATGTGGTGGTCCCAACTCATACTGTTTGGACCCAGGCTCAAAGCCACAACAGCCTTCAGACATGACTCCCACAGAGGCACAGTCTATACTTCTTACAACATTTGCAGAGAGTTACCCACATGCTCAATTTTTGCACAGTAAATAGTCTCCTCATGCCATAGTCTTCTCAAGAGTTCAGAAAGTTGGACATAAGAAGAAATCTTTGCATTATCTCACCTTACTTTATAATTTTTTAACAACTTTTTTTTCTTATTATGTTGTTCTTTAAGATTTCTACGGTAACAGCATATCTAACGATGTATTAAATATAAATAATTTCACCATTAAAGACAGGTGATTATGTTTCTCTTGGAAAAAGAATTAAATTGGTTAGTTTTTGAAGCAGCAGGTGAGAGTAACAGAGAGGATAAGGTACAATTTTGTTTCCATTGGTAGATTTGAATGTCTTTTCATCTTTCTTTGTAATAGATACATGGATTTGATTTTTAATTATTTGGCATGGAGATAATAAATAATTTTATTTTACTTATAGAAATCTGTATATTCCCAAATTCTACACTGTAAATATCTGTACTGCTTTGCAGTGAGCACCAGAACACTAATGATTAATTATATTCAGAAAAAATAATTAAATTTCATAGGGAGATAAATAATTCAGAACTGAACATAGCAATTTCTTTTAAATAAAACAGCGTGTAGTTAGATATTTATTTCATAGGGCTGTGAGAATTACTGTAGACAATAAAGAGGGCATGAAAACCTGGAGCCTGTATAGATATTGATTGGTATGTTCAGGGTGTATTTCGAATATTTATCCTCTGCTTCTCCTCTCCAAGGAGAGATTCCCCTGGGCAGTTCTTGTCATCGATTTTAAGTCTGCCTGCTCAGAAGCTGAAACTGTTGATGCTGGTTGGGAAAGTAAAAGAACAGCAATTGATTGCAAATACATATGATACTCTGCTTCCATATTTCAAAGGGAAAAACTTATTAATGGCAGCAGGTCTCTGATTTTCCCTTTTAAGCATATCAGTCAAACCCATGGTGATTCGCAAACTCCTGGACATTTTCATTTTCTCAGAAAGTGACCCCTTTCTTGTCTTCTTTCTCCCCACAGACAGTGAAATCATCCCTCCTGACTGCCTGCGGCCCCGCTCCTTCACTGCCATCCGCCGGCCCTCGCTGCGGCGGGACACAGAGGACACGCGTCTCTCAGTCAGCCTGTGTGACCTCAACCTGCAGGAGGAGACCTTCCACGTGACAGCCACCACGTGTCCTATCCCACAGAACTCCCTCAACTCCCAGCACTCCCACCTCCTCCCCTCCCAGCTGGAAAGCGACCTCCGCTTCCACCACCTCCGGGGACCCCATGTCAAAATCCTCGATGACCAAACTGTGGCCCGTCTGGAGCACGCCCGGGAGGAGAGGACTTTGGTTTTCACCAGCAGGCCCCTTCGGATCAATGAAACCATTTTCGTCAAAATCAACAAGTCCAACGCTGTGCGCACAGGGACGCTCTCCTACGGGGTGACGTCCTGCGACCCCAGCACCTTGCGCCCCAGTGACCTCCCCTATAACCCCGAGTCTCTGGTTGACCGAAAGGAGTTCTGGGCCATCTGCCGAGTGGTGGTGCCTCTCCAGAGTGGAGACATCCTGGGATTTACGATGAATTCAGATGGTGAGCTGCACTTGAGTCACAACGGTGCCGGCATTGGCATACAGCTCTGTGCGGACTGTTCCCAGCCCCTCTGGATGTTCTTCGTTTTACACGGAGCAATCATGCAAATTCGATTGCTGGGTATGTTTGACCTTCTTTTTCCAAACCTCATGCACAAGGAAGCAAGGGGGGGATGCATCATGGGTGAGGAGGAGAGGGAATAAATGGCTCCCTCCCTGCTCTAGGATCAGGTGCAAATTTTGGTCTTATATATAAGTGCACAAAAGCCACATACATAGCATATGGGTAAGAGTTACAAGACAACCTCTTTGCACTTCTGTAGCATCCTTCATGTGATGGTCTCACAGCTCTTTTCAGATAATGAATTAAGCCTCAGAGACCACCATTAAAGTACTGATGAGTCACCACTGATCTAAGAGAAGCCAGGAAGGTCAAGGTGCTTTGAGCTGAGCTAATACAGGGCCTAGCCAGCAGGAAAAATGAGATCTGATGCCCTTTTCTTTGTGTTAGCTATCTGGCATGACCGATGCCCAGAAGACTCCTTTCTACAGGTTTGCATGCAAGAGACTGGCTAGCAAAGCTTGTGCCTCGTGATCCCAGCTGTGCACAGAGCTTGGCACTGACCATCTCAACAGAAGGGTTTTCTCTAGCCCAGTTTAAGGCAGTGTAGCTCATAAAGGTTAATGACCTCTGAAGAACTGGCCTCTTCTTCTTGGTATTTTTGCTCTGTTTTTAAGCTCTGTTAGCTGAAGTACTTCATTTAAATGCTGCAAGTCACGTTTCAAAGGTATGGAGGGAAAAGCTTTGCAATAGCATTTGCTCAGGGTCAGATTTACTTTTGTGTGTGTGTGTGGTGTGTGTATATGTGTGTATTAGACTAAGTGTAGGATGTGTTTGGCCATAAATTTGTACCATGTCATGGTTCTGCTGGTGTCAGTGTTGGAGAGTGAATGATGGCTTCTGAGAACATTGATGTAATTCCTGGAACCCCTCTAACTGGGGATGATTTTAAAATACTCCTTTCTTTTTATACTGTTGTATTCATATATCTTAAAGTATACTTCTATTCCATTTTGCTTCAAATCCTTTCTTCAAATCCTCCTTCTATCTAACAGGTGAAAAAAAAAATACAACAAACCCAAAAGCCAACCGACATCTCCTTTTATAGGATTTATAGACAGTCTTTGAAGATAAATTGTGGTGAACACACACACATCTGTTTGCAGTGTCCAGTTCACCTTAATTACAGTATGAAATGCCCTGTATAATTTGCTTGAAGTTGACCATAGGCCTATGCTGTGAGTGTTTTGTGGCTGTTAAAGGCTCACAGATGACGAATGTAATACCACAATTTATCTCCAGGAGTCTGAGACTCAATCCCTGCTAATTCAGACAGATTACAGTTGTTGTGGGTACTGACCATAACCCACGGCTAGTTCTGCTCTCCACCACCATGTCACTGTGATACTGGTAGGTGAAGTCAAACAGATCCCAATAATGTCAGAGATTAAGTGCTCCTGCGTATGTTAGAAGGAAATCATCCTTAGGCCATTGAGCTGCTGGCAAAACTAAATCACTGACCAGTGCTTCCTTTCCTATGAGATCACTAATTCTGGCAGTTTGGCACAGACCAAACAGCCTGCTTTCAGTGGGTTCTGAAACAGGGCAGCAAGGATGTGTCTTGCCAGAGGGACAGAATCATGTCCTCACACTGAATTCGACAGAGCAGGGACTCTAACACAGACCTCCTGCTGCACACACCCTGGGTGTGTCCTCCCTGTCTGATGACAAGTTCAGCCCAAACCAGTACATTCCCAGCGCACATTTTAGATAAGTGTACATTTGGATGCATGAAATGAAACTCCTCACTGTTTGTATTTGTGACCACATGACAGACTTTTCTGGCCTAAGTCACTGGAAGAGAACCTGAAAATGGGCTGTTGTTCTTAAATGAGGTGTAAGTGAAAAGAACTGGACTTTCTGACTTTGCCTCTCTTAAGGAAAGGGTGGGACCCTGCTGGGTGTACAGTTAGCTTGGGCAGGAAGATGCTATCTCCAAGTTGCAAGCTCTGAAATTGGAGATTGCCTGTAATTTTTAACAGGTATTAAAAAATGAATTCGAGCTTTTCGTACCTATATTTCCAGTATAACAATTCTGGGAGCAGTACAGTCCCAATATCAGTACAAGGTCAGTACAGTGCAACTGCCCAGAGAAAAGATGCTGTCCCAACACCGCATGCATCTGCAACTGCAGTAATTATATGGATCAGCAATATCCTGGCAGAAGGCAAAGAAAATAATGAACTCCCATCTCTAGCTTTTGCAATGTTATTAGGGAGGTGATGTGCACTGTTTGCACTGCAGTGGAACAGATTATGGTACTTGCCATAATATCTGTCATTATAATACGAGAAAATGTAAGAAGAATGTAAAAATGTTCATCTTTCTAATGACAAGCTCCATCTTCAGAATGCAAACAAGAGTAATTTTGTGAGATGTCTTTTGTAGTTTGAGCTTTATATCACAGCAGAAGAATTTATAGTCGTCTTTTTCTAGATGTAATAGAAAAAGTGAAGTTCCATATCCTTGAAAGAAATGAGACACATAAATACTGCAAAAGGCATAGTTGTAGAAAACCTGTACTAAATAGCAGAAGTCATTGTATTTCTGTGGCACACCTTTATGACATTAACCAAAGCAACATTATGCAGTGTTAAGTGGACATCAGCACTACAGCTGACTATAAAATGAAAATAAAGTTGATGGGTTTGCTTCTTCTCCAGCTTTTAAATTTTGTTTGGAGGATGGAGAGCTACTCTTGGACCTAGAGAAGGTTTATTTTTGACTGGAGAACAAGATGAGTCAGGGTATTGATCACTGGATACTGTATTTCATGCCTGGAGATGAATTATTTGGTCCTGATGCAGAGCAAGAGCAAGCTTAGGTCTCTGCTGGCTTGTGGCTTTGCAATAGAAGCTGACATTTGCTGACTACACTTATTCCACAGTGCTGGGGATACAGCATTTATTTCCTAATCTCTATATCATGGGAGAGCATCTCTGCCCAGGCTGGTGATTTTACAGGACTCTGTAGGAGAAAGGGCAGTATGGGGTTAGTTCGATAGTAAAGAGTTCTGACTTCTCTTTTCATCTTATCAATTTGACATCATATACTGGCAATATATTTGCTGTAGGAGAAATTGAAGAGCAGAAAATAAAGATGAGGTTAAAAACACTTTTTTTTTTCATGCCATCCCAGAAAATATAAATTAATTAAACCCAAGCCCCACTATAGCACAGTGAGAGGTCACAGTCATCTGTAGTGGAAGTGGAGTAGTGGAAGAATGTCAGTTTGTTGCAAAGAAGAGTTTAAAAGGCAACTTGACCACATGGAGGAAAGATAAATGAAAGAGGAGTGCAGTTTAATGTAGCAGATAATAGCATAAAAAAATATCAAGCTTCTGGAAAATGAAGGGACACAAATTTAAATTAAACATAAATGAGAGTAATTAACTATTGGAACCAGCTATTGAGGGAGGCAGTAGATCTTTTTTGTCAGGAAAGCCCTTCTAAATATTTTATATGTTAAGTGCTGGTCTTAATTTAGAAATTCTGTGGATTATGCACATAAAAACAACCAAAGAGAAACTCAAATCATTAGGCATGTTGAAATGAAACAGTCTTTGTGTATCCTTTAGGAATTTCATTAGTTCAGGCTTGGGTTGTTTTTTTTTCAGGCATCATTCCTGTGCAGTCAACAAAACCAGCCTATTAAATTTGATTTACTGCTCTCAGCTTTTGCTGGTAAGCATTTCAGCTCACACACAGTTTTATCGACATCTCTCAAAGGTTGAAGTGAGCCAGTTTGGATTCAATGGTCTGGTTTTGGTCAGGTTTTGGTGGTGTAATTCATTTATGAAATTAAATTGATTGACCCCATAAGGTTTTAAAATGTATGACTCATGTCTGGAGGAGCTATCACAGCAATAAGTTTATATGTTTAGTGTTTAGGGATCCAAATGTTTGGGGATATTCTTTCATTTTCTTTTGTCTCAGAGTGAATCACCAGCATGTAAACCATCTTCCTTCATCTCCTTTTTTTTTTTTTTTGTTGTGTGGTTTCCCTTGTGAATTTCATTCTTTCCAGTAATATTAAAGTTTTCTTTTGAGCAATGAAATAACATGTTCCATCAACAGTCACACTAATGAAGCCGAGTTGCCAACTTCTCTGTGTCCTTTCTTTCCACGCACTTCAATAGCTCCAGCCCCACCAGAACAGCTGCACAATATAGTAGCTCTCTGGATGTCTCCTAATGTTGGCCAAGAGCCAGCACTGGGCCTGAAAAAAAACAACCCCAGAGCCAGCATTTGGTGTGGGTAAGTCTATATTCACATCCATGCTGGATAAACACAAAGTGTGTGGGCTATCATCTCCTGTCTCCTTTACCATGGACAGATGAGTTGGGCTCCTACTTCGCTGCCCATTACAAAATATTTAGAAACCAGTTGTTGCTGAGGTTTGTACCCTCCTTTCAGACTTTCTTGAAATTGGTCAATGTGCTCATAACTGAGGGGTCGAGGAAGGAAGATCTGATGTGAGACTTGCAGACAGAAAAAATATGAATCCCTGGTTCCTCGGGATTTCTGACAACAGCAGTTGGCAAAGGACCAAATTGGGAATTAGTTCAACAGAGTACTTTGGGACACAAGTTGCTGGCAAAGGGCTCTTTAAGTCAACAGTGAAATTCGATCTGAAGTGGCCTCAGTGCCAGTCTGCAAGAATGCCAACTGCAGTCAGTCCCATTACAGGCAGGTACAGACAGGCTTGTGCAAAGCTGTGCCCTGGAAAGCTGTGCCCGTTATGACTCTTCCTGGTGGTCAAGCTTAGCAGCCCTGGTAGTGCTGTCCATGTGCAGCCCTTATCCCGAGAAAACAGCTGGAAAGACTTGAAGTTTCATGGGCGAACAGAGTAATGTTTTGCTTAGGTGTCACAGAGCGAATGATTTACCAGGGGGAATTACTGTTGTGAAGTTCATCAGGCTGCCCCCCTTTGGTCTTCTTTGACTTGAGCTCCATCCTAGGTGGGTCAGTGGCTCACCAAAGAACACTAGTGATTCACAG